TCCCAGGATTTGGAGGCAGGAGGATCAGATATTCATGGTCATTCTTGGCTGCATAGAGAGTTTGAGGCCAGCCTGGGTTACAAGACTCTGTCTCAAAAGAAAAAGTTCTCTTTGACTCGAAGACAAGACATGCTCGGTCTACTGCTGTTGGACAACACTGAAAGAAATGGCCTCTGCAGCATAAAAAGACAATGGCAACCATGTCCCGGTGGCCTATGTATTTATTAAATCAATGTAAGTATGAGTGATGAATCAGGGCACTGCCTCCTGTCTTGTGTGCAACACGCTGCCTTTCCTCTCCCATTCAGGACCAAGTAGCCCCAGAAAGTGGTCCTGGGGGACTAATATTCAGTTCTCCACACTCTCAGTGTCTCCATATAGTACCAGGCACTTGGCTGTCAAACTTGGCCAGGTTGGGGTGGAGGACAGCACTACTGCCCCATTTTACAGGGAGGAAGTTGAGGTCCAAGGTTACTTAGTTGAAGAGGGCAGAGGGGGACCGGTCCCAACATCGGAACCACTAGTGGGTGGGGTGCACCCCCTCTTCCTGCTCCTTTTTACCACCCCCAGTACATCCGCTGTTTGGTAAACACCATGTCTAGGGGTGGAGCAGGATTGGGATTTGGATATTGGGCTGCCTTGTGGGGCCCAGTGTGGCTGGGCCAGCAGCAGACAATTAATTACTGGGATCGTGCTAAGGCCGGGCAAGGGCCCAGCGCTGGGTGTTTACACCGCACTAGTCTGTTTGGGGCCAGCAAATCCGTGTCAGATGTTAATGGAACTGCATCATTTTTCTGCTGTGGTGGCATCCCTGGGGTTGTTTGGATGAGAGGAGGCCGGCTGGACTCAGACTGAGCGGTGGGCGGCTCAAGAGGGAGGACGCCATCTGTCAGGCTGTAGACAACTCAGCAGGCTCCCATCCCATGGCCTTCCCTCCTACAGCAGTGGACAACATTTCCCAACACCCCCAAACCCTGTCCCAGTCATGGGGCTCTGGGAACAACAACAACAAAAAAAACCCTGTGAGTTGTAAAGAAAAAAATTACAAAGGATTCACTCCAAACTATAAGGACACTAAAGCCTAGAAACAGTTAACATTTCATTGAACACTGTTCAATTAAACAATAGTGTTCAGCTGAACATCCCAGGAAGATCCAGCCATGTGTTCAAGGTTTGCCCGGACCACTGGGCAGCCTCCACTGGCACCTCACACCCCAGGAACTCTTGGGGAAGGTCTGGCCACCTGAACAGGACAGGTCTTCCTTTCCTATCACATGGATTTGCCCTTTCATCAAGAAAGCAAAGGACAGAAATGCTCAGAGAGGAAAAGTGACAGGCCCAACTTCACACAGGTAGCTAGGACCTCTGAGCCCGTGTGCAAAGGAAGAGAGAATCAACTCCTACAGGGGCCTGGATAGGGATATTGGACACCTCAGGAGGAGCTGTCCTAGAATACCTCTGTGGGAGGAAGTGGCAAGTGCTAGCCAAGGACTAGAGAAGACAAGGGTAGCCCTCATCTTGGTCTTTCCACTTCTCAGTGCCTCTTAGCTCCTCAGCAACCTTGCCCTTACCCTAGGGCCTTTGCACAGGCTGTTCTATCTGCCCAACAGTCTCTCTTCAGGGTCTCAGGGGTCTGTGTATTCTAGAGTCACTCCTCAGAGAGGCCTTCCCACCCAGACTGGCTGCCATGCACCCAGCCCTGTCCCTTTCATGGGCTTAGGCTTATAAGGAACAAGGTCATGGTCAGTTAGCTACAAAAGAACTTGAGATCCCTGCCCAGCACACAGCCTGACACCTGAGAAATGTGGCCACACTGGCTATAAAGTCACTTGGGAAAACTGCAGCCTTCAGTCCCGATACCCAGTGTCGCATTTTGAATTCCTGTGCCGCCTTCCCACTGGCACTGAGTCAGGGGCTTCTATCCAGAGGGCTCCGAACAGTAACCCTGGGCAATGGGCCTCTCAGCTCTCCTACCACACCTCTGCTGAACTTCCTGATACCATAAAAAGTAGACCAGAGACCCTTAGCTACCATGTATCCCAGTCCATCCCTCCTTCTGTGTCCCTACCTGCAAACCAGTCTCCTCCCTTCAGGCAGAGCAGTCTGGTATGGATGCAGACCCAGGTCAGTGTGGGGACAGAAAGACCCAGAGGGAAGTGAGAGGGCAAAGGTGGTGGGTAAGACGCCTGCAGAGCCATCCTGGCCGCCATCTGCAGGGGTTCTCTCTCAAAAGTTCATTGGGCACTACTTAAATTCTGCTTCACCAGCTGTAAGTCACCGTGCCTTGGTTTCCCCATCAGTAAAGCATGCTCCCAAGCCCTCTGTCAAAGGGTGGTGGTGTGGAGTGTAAGAGATTATATTGTCACCAGTGTTTCAAATAGTTAAGAAAGGGCTCGTGTGATTTTTCCCATCCCCTTCCCAACACTCATACTGAGTTACTATCCCCTGCCCCAGGAGAAAAGTAACCTCTGGCCAGGGGCTGCCCAATTCCTGGCCCTGTCCTGCCCCCTGCTGTTCATTTTGGGCATTACCCCCACAGGCTCCCAGCTGGATCCTTTTCTGACAACTGCAGATTCAGGGACTGGCTTTGGGACCAGGTGGACAAAGGTTCTAAACAAGTTGGACCACAGGGATAGATTGAGTGACCCTAGATACATAGAGTGGTGACCTTGCTGAGCTTCCCGCCGGGCACAGAGAGGATGGAAACATGCTAAAGGTGGGAGTAGGAGGAGCCCCTCGCTTTTAGATCAGTCATGCTCTGTCTGCTCACTTGCACTTCTCTGAAATCCCCCATGTGGGTTCACCGGAGCCTTCTCAGAGTTGGTTGTGGTCCTTCCTTTTGGTTTGCCCAAATAGTGGCAATGTGGATCTGGCTCTGCTTGGGCATGTGGGTACCTGTCCTGAGTCTCAGTGGGTACTTCTCCATCCTTGCATTCAGAAGGCCAGCAGGAACCCCTGAGAGGCTGGGTACCACCACATCAGTCAGGTGAGGTGAAGGTGGTTGGTTGCAGGAACAGCCAGTCCAGAAGCCTTGGGAGTCTGACACTGATGCCCCGGGAATGGCTCTTCCAAATTCAAGCTCTAAGAGCCAGATGAGCATCATGTGTTGGGCCCAGCACCTGCCAAAATGGCTACAGTGGCCTTGAGCCATGCCTGTCTGAGACACTGTGGCCCATTACCCCCTGGACTGGCTTCCCTGGATTTCCCTAGTGCTGGAGTCACAATTCCTGGGGACAGGTGGGACTGACCTAGGAAACACCAGGGCCTCCGTTCTCTTTGCCAGTAGCTGTGCTACTGAAGCTGCAGCCACGGGTTCAGACCTTGGACCTGAGGGAACACTGGTAGTCAGGGCCTGGCATGCATATATTTCAACTGTAAGGTAGCCACTGAGGGCAGAAGAGGGGACCAGAGAGGAGCAGTACTAGGCTCCTGGTGGCTCACAGAAGCCAGTGGTAGTGGAGGATGAAAGAGTTGTGGCCTGCCGTGTGAAGGTTGCCCATATTCTCTGCCCATAGACAAAGAGGCTGTCTGGCACACAGCACATAGTTCCAATGCCCAGGCCTAGCTATATGACGCAGGATGACTGATGGGCAGGCAGCACAGGATGGAGCTGGGTCCTGGGAGATACTGAGTGGCCTTGGGAAGCCCCTCCCAGGCCCTGGACCCTCCAGCTCCCTGAAAGTTCTCCCAGCCACTTTTGGTTAGGGATGGAGCCACCAGGCCCAGATAGCCCCACTGCCGGGACCCTGGACTCTGAGCCTGCCAGCCTGAGGGTAGTGAGAGGCCCACCCAATTGGGGTGCTGCTGCATGGAGACACCCAGGGCTGGGTGCTGGCTCCTGTGAGGCACGGATAGGGTAAGAGCAGCTCAAGGCAGTCTCTTGAGGGGTCATCAGGCTACCCTTGGCTTGTTAGGGTCAAGGACATGCAAGGGTTGTACATACTAAGATACCTGCAACCTGCAACCAGTATGGGCCCAAGGCACCACCTGGTGGCAGCACTGGGACCCTCCCCACCCCCATGCAAGAGGTTGCACAGGGTCCCTTCCAGGAGCTCAGCCACTCAGCTCAGGATGGAGCCTCTCTTCTGAGCATCCAACAAGTGCCAGATAACACAATGCTCAGAGAAAAAGGACTCACCCAAAGTCATGTCACGTGCTACATATCAAAGGGTATAAGGAATCATAGCCACCAGTTCACACCCATAACCCTGGGTCTCCCTGGGGATCTGCTTCCAGGCTTGCTTAGGGTGCTGGCAGGCGGGTCTCATGCTGGCTCAGCTCCTTGTACCTCAATGCCTTGGGCAGTCTTGGTCACATTCTGGCCTATAGCTCCTTATCTGAACATTGGAGCCCTCCCTGCCCAGTTCTGGTCACAGTTACTGGGTGAGACCCAGACACACATGGGGCTGGGATAGCACAGACACCTGCTCAGCAGGGTGTGGTCAGTAGGCAGGGCCACTCGCTGGCCATCATTGGAACCCTTCATTCTCACACAACTGGCCTGCCTAATTGACCTACACTTGCCTTGTGTCTGTTCTATCCATTGTCATCAGCCTCCCCATGCCCCATCCCCAGATAGAACGGGGCCTCACCCAGTTCCTCAGCATGGGCAGTCATGTCATCTCCACAAGACACTCTCCCCACCCTGTCTTTTTAGTGAATGTCATAGGGGTTTCTGCTGGCTTGCTATGAATAATATGGATGGAAGCTGGAAGGTGCATCCCAGGGACAACCCTCCTGGGCTGCTGGAGTCAGGCAAGTCTCAGTGGAGAACACAGCCAGGCCCATGGCTGAGCTGCCGGGTCGGGGTCTTGGGCAGCTGCCCTGGGGATCCCAGGAGCTCTTCTGCACGCTCCTGCTGGACATCTTGGGGCACAGTAGCTTTGGGGTGCAAGCTGAGGCTCTACCTGGGGAGCACAGGAGCTGGTCCAGCCTTTGAGGAGCCCCCAGGGTGACAACAGTGGAGGGTGACGAAGGAGGCAGGAACAACACAGACATAGTTCTGTACAAAACCTGAAATATTTTTACTTTTTTAAAACTTTGGTCTAAGATGCCTTAGACCTCATGGACTCAATACAAGAGTAATATGAACTGGGAAATAGAACACTTTAATAGCCACGATAAACTTTGTTAGAAATGTACATGTCGCCAAAATAATAATAAAATTAAAAAGAGAGAGAACAGCTTGATGCCTGGGTTAAGATTATAGAAATGTTCACAAGGACAGGGTCAAGGAAACTTTAAAAACACCAGTTCTGAGTAAGCCTGGGGCCCGCGAGATGCCCCCCTTCCAGCCCCGGGCCCTGGGGATGGTGTCCCTCCAAACAGGACAAGGGGAGTGGATAAGGCCTCCGCCAAGCTGCATTCCCTCATGGACAAAACATCCAGGTAATGGGTGTATAAACAAAGCTCATAAGAAATGTACAAATATAAAAAGCTACAAACATTAATAAATTACAGCATCACAAAACACAAACACTTCACAAGGTGCTAGTAAAATAACTGTATCCCCAACCCCCTCGTCATACAAGAAGGAGAGCGAAGAGCTGGTATAGACTGAAGACGCAGCTTCAGGGCGTGGGAAGGGGATCTCTGTGTACTATCCGCTTCTGTAAAGACAGAGTGTAAGGCTGCGCAGGCGCCATTGTTTTTCAGGCAATACCTTAGTTCCTAAGGAAAAATAAAAATAACAACAAAAGGAAAGGAAAGAAAAGGGGAAAAGCATTGAAACCCGACCGTCCATCAGAGTCGGCAAAAAACTTGTATAAAGGTTAATGAAGGACTCTATAGAAAGAAATTCCTAAAGATACTTTTACTCTTATAAAAAAGAAGTCATTTAAAAAGCTATTTACACGCTACAGTCTATGAAAAATATGCTTCCAGAAATACATCTAAAATGAAAATACAGGATTGCCTGAGAAACAAACCCAGCTCCTCCGTGTCAATGGGTGGACACGCCACCTGGGATGGCCCACACTCATGATGCCACACAGGGGCTCTCACAAGCGCCACTGTGCTGGCTCTAGCCCTGTGGCCCTGCCCACCTGCCTGCTCACTTAGGGCAGGAAGCCTTGGCCTAGAAGTGCGCTCACTGCAGGGCTCCTCCACGTGGCTTAGCCTGGGTCCCCTGGACCCTAAGTCGTGGCTGAGACATTGCCCTTCCCATGGGACCCCACAGTGGCTTCTCCACCCCACTAGCACACCAACCTAATTGTGGGTCCTCACCATCCCAGACAAATGTCCTTGGGCATTTGGGGTATGACATCCACTATCTAGCCTGCTACCTGCCAGCTGGGGCGCTGGGGCAACCTCTCCTCACTGGCCAAGTGCTCTGTAAGACTCGCTCAAGAAGAGGAGGGTGGGAACATGTCAACAGTTCCTCCTCGATCTCATGTCCTTTGCCTTGTTTTAAGCCTTTGGAGGCTGCCAGCCTGGGGCCAGCTCGGACTTGGGCTGGTGAGCGTGGCTCACTGCACCTTCCTCGAAGGCCTTGTGCTCCCAAGCAGAGCCATGGAGGCCACCAGGCTCCAGTGGGGTGCCTGTGGCTGTCCTGAAAGCTGAATGGTCCTCAAGTTGGCAGGGCCACTTTGCAGGAACTGGTCACTCTAAGCAACTTGAGAAAAGGTGTCCATGTTCAGAACGAGGGACGGCCACTCTCCACTCGCTCCACCTGCTCAAGGGACAGATGCTCATGTGGGGGAGAGGTGGCTGGGAGGAGGTGAAGCCCTCCCTAGGCGGCGTGGCTACCACCTTCCTGGGAGGCTGATGCAGCGGGGCTCCAGGGGTCCTGAGCAGAGCAGAAGGATCCTGGCTTTCTAAGCCTTAAAGGAGCAGTTTCCCGTTCCGGTGGATCTTTAAAATCTTCCCAAGCCTTTGCTTGGCGGTGGCCATGCCCTTTTTTGTACGTTTTCCTAAGGAGGTGGGGAAAAGGGCACAAAAAAAGATGAGTGATAGCTAAGGGAAAATGGATCCTGCAATCTCCCTAAGCCCTGCCCTACCTCTGTAAAATGAGCAAGCCAGGCAAGCCCCACGCTCACAAGTCCTCCATGGACCCAAAGCACCTGCTCAGAGGTGCTGGGATGGTCTGAGCTGGGACCCTGGGGGCCACAGTAAGGTGGACTCAGCTCAGGATGGCATAGCTAAGATGTGAAGCCACCCTGGGTCCCAACCCTTGGCAACAAGGCCACCTCAAATGCCACCAACAACCACGCCACCAAACCATGGCTGTTGGGCCCATGCTAGGGTACAATCACGTGAGGCAAGGGAGGCCCAACATCAGCCCTATGAAGAGAGATAGGGTGCCAGAGGGCCTGGACTGCATGACACCCTAACTCACAAAGAAGGGTCTAACCTAGCAGCCCAGCTCATGTCATTCACCCTTGGCAAATGGCCATGCCAGAGCCCCGAAAATCAGCCCTAAGGTATGATAATCAGTGGGCTCTTTTTAGGCCTCATCTCCTGATCTTTAGACTATTTCTTTCACATGACCGAGCAGATCAGCTGCAGATACTCATGTGAAAGGCAGTGGTGGGTGGAGAGCAACTATCTTGAACTCCAGCACCTACTGACCTGGGGCCACAACCCATACCCCTCGTGGTGTGCTGAGTCTGGGGCTTTCTAAGGCTGGGTGAGGGGCAAGGCAGAACATAGGGGGTACCTTTGGCAGCGGTGTTGTTGGGGGATGATGCAGAAGGCCTCCTCTGTGTGAGAAAGACTCCAGGGGCCATGGGCTGGGAGGTGCGGCCAGCTTGGGCCCCTGTAAACATGCCGGCCGCTGTATACTCGTGGTCAGCCAGGCTGCTGCTGTGTGATTCTGGCGGGGGCTCAGGTGAGCTGCTCTCCTGTGAGGCCTGGCTGCTGGCTGTGCTGGTGGAGGCCGGGGTGGTGGAGGCCGGGGTGGTGGAGGCTGGGGTGGTGGAAGTGGGGGTGGTGGAGTCCGAGGTGGTGCCCGTGGAGGTGGAGACGGAGGCAGAGGTGGAGGCAGAAGTGGAGGCAGAGGTGGAAGTGGAGGTGGAGGTGGAGGTGGAAGTGGAGACAGAGGGGGAGGCAGTGTTAGGAGTCGGCTTCCTTTTGGTGTTTTTCTTCTTCCTGTTTTTCTGCTCCTCCTAGGAACAAAGGGTGCAGGTGTGCTACCATAAAGCTGCCTCAGATGCATGAAGTTAGGCACAGCCAGCTCGATCTCTGCCCAGATGCAGGCCTCGAGGAGCTCAGACCTCCACTGGGTGGGCAGGGTGAACAGCAGTGGAGAACTCAGGGTAGAAAGGCTGGCCCATGAGAGGCCACTGTGAGGTCTGCTAACAAGCTGCCCATCTACCCCATCCCCAATCAGAGCATCATCTAGGATAAGCTCATCTAGGATAAGCAGCCAAGGACCCAGGAACCTGGGGTCTAAGATGTGGCACAGGGCTTGGCAGCTGCCCATCCAACCTCTCTGTACAGTGTCACCCTACCACCCCACCCTGAGCTGTTCTGGTGCTCTTGATCATGAAAGAACATTCACTTTCAACCTATTCACTTCCATGGGTGCTTAGATGGGGTCAGCCTGGGCTCTGGGATGTTGCCTCTAGTGGGGTGAGCTGAAGTTGACCAGCGAGAGGTGGTAAAGAGGAACAGGTGGGGACAGTCCTCAGCTCCTGACTGAGCACAACTTAAAGGGGTGCCAGGACCCCTGGGAACAGGAGGGGTCCTCAGAGGCACTGCAGATGAAGAATGTGCAGGGCCCTCTGGCTAGCAGAGACCAATGTCAGCAAGAGATGCCTGTTTGGGGTGAGGTACATAGACTATGGATCCAAGATCCCCTGAATGTACTCAGAATTTGGGACCAGAAGGACTATAATCAAACATCCTGAAACCTGACAGTCCCTAGCCCAAGCAATCTGTACACAGTGGCTGAAGTGTCTGGAAATCAGCCGAAGTGCAGATGATAAGGACCTACCCTTCAAGGACCCTCTGGTTTCTCCTCACCTGCTGGGACAGTTTGGCTGCAGCAGCTGCCAGCCCAGTCTCGATGGAGGCCACTCTGGTCCCCTCACGCACAGGCCTGTCCTGTCTCGGCACCGAAGGGCCAACCCTGGCTGCAAAAGACGGGGAGGGCCATCCAGTCAGGCTTGGGAGGGGGGCATCCACCCCAGACTATCCCTGAGTCTAGGGTGCCGTGAGGGATGGGAAGTCACTACACCTTGCAGTCCCCAGGCTGCTGCCACACTGGGATGTCTATGGGCAGTCTGGGAGGCCCAGCAAGCTGGGAAAGGACAAGCAGGCAGGCAGGGGGCCTTGAAAGGTAGGCATGCCTAATCCCACTTGCCACCCCAGCTGGTGTCCCTCAGTCACCACAAAGAGTGACCTTCAGATATGCACATGCCCATCCCAGAGCTTCTGATAAAGGACACTGGAGAGGAAGGGCAGGCCAAAGGGAAAGGTTCTTGAGTGAAGTCTGGGCTCAGAGGTCCCAAGGCACAAAGAAGAGCCCCAGTCAAGGGTCCTATGGGAAGCTGACTAATCTCCCCTGAACAGGCCCAGAGCCAAGCACCCTTCCTCAGTGACTCCCAGCCCACTATACCTGTGGGGCTATAGGGAGCATCGTCTGAGCCTTTCCTCTTCTTGGACCGGGACTTGAAGACAGGGTTATCTTCGTCAGACTCCAGTGAGGGATAAACTGAGGGAGGCAATAGGAGAGCAGGCCTGAGTAGCTGGGGGATGTGCTGCAGTGGCTCAGGGCCTTCCTGAGTGGTAGCCCCAGAGCTCTCCTCAGACCTGCCATGCAATGACAGCTGTCACAGCAAGGGTGCCTACACATAGAAGCTGAGTGCCCAGACTGCCAGCCACGTTCACCCCAGCCTGGCCTGGCTCCCAAAAGCCTTTTGTCCATATAGATGCTCTAGGAGCCTGGGACCTGCATCCCTACTAGAAGCCGTTGCAGTGAGGGTTTGAAACTGAGAGGGTTACGGGGCCAATCCCACCATCTCTGAAGCCCCCCAGACCTGGCCAGCAGGTTGGGAGAAGGTGACTGCCCAGAAGCTGCAGTGACTTCCCCAGTGTGAGGCCGGACCCTGTGACCTCCAAGGCCAGTGGAGGAACCTCCAAGATGAGCGATTCTGGAGGTGGCAGCAGGGCCTGCATGACTGAGCTATCTCAAGCTCACCAAAAGAGTGGGGAAGACAGGAGTTCACTCTGCTGCCAATTTGTCTGTCAAAGCAGGGCACAGCCACCACAGGACACAAAACTATCTGGCAGCTGCAGGACAGAACCCACCTCTCAGGAGTTCTCTACTTCACAATGGCACAGGTCAGCAAAGCCCCAACCTCTGGCCATCAGCACAGGGGCTGAAGAAGGTGCTGGACTAAGCCCAGGTGTACCTGTCCCTGGGGACCATGAACCTGGGCCAAAAGCAACACCCCTGCTGTGATACTGGAGTGTTTCCTGAGGTGGGGTGGGCTGAGTCTGACAAGCCCTGCTGGGTAGGAGGTATGCTGGCTGTGCCAATGGCAGAAAGCCAGAGCCACAACAGTTCCTGACCGTATGTGTGGCTACAGGGTCATCTTGGGCCTCAGTTTCTCCATCTTATAGGGCACAATAACCCCATGGCAACCTGTCACGTAGGCCCTCAGAAAAGTAAATATGCAATGACCAGTGACCCAGCAGGCCCTCCCAGAAACACAGCCAAGGAGGACAAGAGTATGAGTCCCTACCTGTATATCCGTGTTCATGGCATCAAAAGAAGAGCCCAAGGACCCAGGGATGGATGCAGACATGGAGTTATAGTACATTCCCCACCCACAGAAAGTAATTATTACTCAGTCTTAGGAAGGAATAAAACTGGGATTAGAGAAATGGTTCAGCAGTTAAATGCATTGGTTCAATTCCCAGCACCCAACCCACACCGTGGCTGACAACTGTCTATAACTCCAGTTCCAGAGAATCCGACACCCTTTTCTGACCTCTAAGTACATTGCACATGCACTTACATACATGCAGGCAAAAGACTCAAACACATTAAATTAGATAAATAGATGAGATAGATAGATAGATGATAGATAGATAGATAGATAGATAGATAGATAGATAGATAGATAGATGATAGATGGATGGAAGGATGGATGGATGGATGGATGGATGGATAGATAGATGATAGATGGATGGAAGGATGGATAGATGGATGGATGGATGGATGGATGGATAGACAGACAGACAGACAGACAGACAGATAGATAGATAGATGATAATTTTTTTAAAGGAAGAAAATTCTGTCATATGCCACAATATGGATAGACCTTGTAGTCATTCTGCTGAGGGAAATAAGTCAGTCACAAAAAGTCACAGATATGATTCAACTAGACAGCATGCCCGGAACAGGCAGATTCACAGAGCCCTGAAGCACATGATAGTGGCTAGGGCTGGCAAGGGGGCCAAGAGGGAGGGGAAGCTTACTGTAGATGGAGAAAAGGTTTCCTTAAGTAGGGACGATGTTCTGAAATGGACCATGGTTCACAGGTCACCAAATCACATACTTTTAAAGGATTTTTTTGCGGGGAGAGGGTCTCGCTATGTAGCCCTGGCTGGCCTGTAATTCACTATGTAGACCAGGCTGGCCTCAAACTCACAGAGATCCACCTGCAGAGTGCTGGGATTAAAGGTGTACACTCCTACACCCCACCAAGGGTGAATCTTACAGCCTGTGGACTGCAACTCCCAGTTCTCAGCAAGTCCTACCCCTGCAGGCTCTGGCCCTGGCCTTCAGCCATACTCACCATAGTCTGAGTCTTTGAAACAAGCATCTAGGTGGTCCTGATCCTCCTCGTAGTCATCCAGGTCCACGCTGTTCTTGGCGGCCCTTTTCAGCAGGCGCTTTCCTGTACTCTTGCTGCCACCACCATTCTTCCGGGCACCATGGGCTGCCAGTGAACCACCCTTAGCTTGGCCAGTGGCCCATGTGTTCTGCAGGCATGAGTCAGAGGCCTGTAGGTTGGCCATGGACAGCATTCCCTGAATGGCTTCCTGTGTGCTGGGAGAGGCAGGAGGCTGGCTGGAGACACAGAGACAACAGGTACTCAGCCACGGCCCTCAGCCCATAGCTCTCAGCCCAGGGCACCTGGATCACAGGCTAGAGCCACAGCCCAGAGCCCAGAGCCTGCAGCCCAGGTCTTGGAACCACAGCTCAGTCATATGCCTGGCCTGGGAGACCAGCAGATGACAGGGGATGACATGGGCTTGTGACTCCCCTGTAGAAAAGGCCAGGGAACCCCCTCTGTTCATTCAGTCACACTCTAGGGAGGACAAGAGGTCCCAGGACAGAGATGGGTCACAGCTAGTAGACACACAGGAGGTAGGTGGGATCAGGTCTCACACCATCCTGCACTGGATTCTCCCAACTTCACCCTGCCAGCTCTCCACACCTCCCAGCAACTTGGACCAACCATGATCTCAGTCCTAGCCAGGGGCATTCCTTCCCCTCACTCTGCATGGAAATAGAGAAGCCCACATTCTTTCTATGACAAAATCTCCCCAGGTGACTTATACCAACACCTGCACCCACACCCTCACCTACATCTTCATCCATACCTGTACCCTCACCTAAATCCACACATATACCCTCACTCCACACCTGTACCCTTACTCTCACCCTCATCCACATCTGCACCCATACCCTCACCTATGCACACACTCTCATCTACACTTGTATCCACACCGTTATCTACACCTGTACTCACAATTATATCTGTGCCCATACCCTCACCTACACCTGCACCCTTATAGACACCACATCTATACCTGCATCCTCATCCACATCTATACACGTACCCACAGCCTCATCTACACCTGCACCCACAGCCTCATCTACACCTGCACTCACAGCCTCATCTACACCTGCACCCACACTACACCTTCAGCTGTATCCAAACCTACATCTACACCCACATCTCTATCCTTATCTTCTCCTTTACCTGTACACATATCTGCAACCACAGTTCTAATGATATCCACCCCTGTACCCACACCATTTACACCTGTACCACAGTTACAGCTATACCTGCATTCATTCCTGCACACATATTTACATCTTCCTCTTTACTCACATCTGCAACTATACCTCCAATTATGCCTTTACTCACCCCTACACCCATACCATTTATACCTGTCCTCACACCTGTGTCTATACCTGCACCCACACATCTCTTGGTCAGGCACAGCCACACCTCAGCTCAACCTCTCTGGGACCCCTCCACACAGACACTTGAACTTCCTCTTGCACCCTAGTCTTCCTTGCCCTCCAACTCTGGGTGGGGCTGCCATAGGGTCCCATCTGCATTCTTCTGCTGAATACTTGTCTCATGCCCTTTCTGTGTTCTCCCAGAAATGTTCTTGTCCTCTGCCCCATGCCCTCACCTCTTCCTGGCTGCACTGGTGCCCCGCCTTCCAGAAAGAACACTCCAAACACACTCTGCTCACTGTCATCTCACAGGGATCTGGACACTGCTGGACAGCAAGAACACCTTGGGGCTGAATCTTGGGTGGCTCCTGCCCTCACCCCCAAATTCCCACCAGATCTTCCAACAGAATCCAGCTCTGGTTTCCTTGGAGCCTTGTCCTTGCTCAGCCTACACATTCCCTGCAGCCAAGACTCCCCACCTGTCTAAACTGGAACCACCTGGACAGCTTAAAAATGCTTCCCCCATACCCTATCAGGAGACTGTGAGTCAGGATCTGATACAAGCTCCAGATGCCCACAGAGAACCACATTTCCCACAGCTCCACATGGGCCTGGCCCAACGGGGGCTTCCTTCACAGTCTTTTTCTGGTCCTCACTCTACCCAGCTCAGTCCAGCCCAGAACAGAAAGGCTTTCTACTCCAGCTGGTAAAAAAGATTCTGTCACCACCAGGGACACCAGCTATACCAGTCACCTAGATGGTCATGGTCCAGACTAGAGGCATACAGGACCCCAGTGTCCCCTCCTAGTCCTTGGCCCCATTCCTCCTGACTCCTTCATTAGCACCGTCTTTTCTCCAACTGCTCCCTTGCTAGCTCCTGTATTCCTAGGAACTACATGCAAGTACCTGGAGCACTTTACAAAGACCGCTGCAAGGGAAGGAAGGCATCACAGCCCCTGAGAAGAGGGTGGGCTGGAAGATGAATGCATGGCAAGCCCAGGACCAGGATGTTGATGTGTGACAGCAAGCACATACAACACTGTGCAAACTGGTCCCTCACTACATGTTTCCCTCCATTTGCTGAAGATGGCACACATGTGAGGCAGTGATAACAGACTGCCTAGGCACAGACTCAAGTGCCCAGGCAGAGGCTCTACGAGGGACCTAGGAAAGCCACTGTTCAGAAGCATGAGGGTTCTAGAAACTAAGACCCTGTCAGAGGGGAGTCAGGGAGATGGAGCTGTCCCCATTGGGGGTACCCAGGCAAACTTGGACAAAAGCTGTCTTTAAGGCCAATGCCCCACAGACCGAAGGATGTTCCTGAGCTTGAGAAGGCAGCCACAGTCCTTCACCAAAGCTGCTCCCAGACCAAAGCCACAATGGAAGGCCAAGTCAAACAGTCCTGAGCCCAGAAAGCAATGCTGGGAGCCATCTTGCCCTTCCCCATGATACCACTTGGGCCATGTGCTGTAGGCCAGCAGTTGCCCTGGCACCATCCAGCTGTGCCATTCTTACAGATTTCTCTGAGCAGGAGCAAGAAAAGACAAGGCAAAGGCAAAAAGCTCCCCTTATACCTCTAGGAACAAAGCCTCCCAACCCAGGCCACAGGGAAATGTCAGGATGCCCACCATGAGGGTCCCAAACTCTAGTGGCAGAGCCCCATTGGAGCTCACTTGGATGTGAGCTGCTCACCCATGCCATCTGGGTGACCCCAAAGTGGGGACTGCATACCAAGCTGGCCCATCTGTCCACATGGTCGCTAGAGAATCAATGAGCAAAGTTTAACCAGTCAGCATGGAAAATAATACTTTAATCCTCCAATTATCATACCAAAATCCTCTCTTTTTTCCCCCAGCAATAAACACTAAGCAAACCATCCACAAGAAATTAACATATTTTCCTCCATTTTCTTCAGCTGTTTTTTTCCAAACAACCAATACTTAAAACAGAGCAAATGGACCATCAAAAACTGACCTATGCTCCAAATGGGAGATTTTCAGAAAGGAACTGCCTACAGCAGGCTGGGGGTGGGGGTGGAGGAGCCAACCTCTGAGAACTGGGTAGGCACAGCAGGCCCATGTGCATGTGTGAGGGTACATGCAGTATCTACGGAGCATACTCTCCAGAGTTATAGCTCAAGGATGCAGCAGCTCTGGGTTTCTCATTAGCAGATGAGCAGCCCTCTCCTGGCCTCACAGATCGGGGCATAGGCTACCCCCATCCCCATCAGAGTTCTATTTCCATGCCCCTCACCCCATGGTCTATTCTCTACAGCACCCATGGCAGGGTACCTGGTGGCTCTAGGCCCTATCTGCTCTCTTCCTGGATGGCCCAGGCTCATCCCATGCCCCCAAATTCTGAGGGTTCTCCAATGAGGTCATGGGGGACCCAGGGTGCTGGGGGGTGGCTCTCAGACCCCAAGATCAGTCAAGGAGGTGTTAGCTAGCACATGCCTCCTCCCAGAAGCCAGGGATCCCCTATGTGGGCTGTGTGGAGCCCTGTACAGGGCCATAGCCTTCAGTGGGGAGAGGCCACAGTCAGGCTTTACCACACGGCCACCAAGGTTTTTGCCTGCTTCATGACAGGCTGATCGAGGAACATGAGCCCAAGGCCAAGCATGCCCCTCCTGTCACACTTCACTTACATTAAAGGAAAGTGCCTGCGGCTGATTGGCTGTGAACATGATATTGCATTCAAAAGAGTAATTTATGAAATAAAATATGGCCAACTAATTTAGCAAAAGCTCATTTCAATCAGGCCCTTAATCCGCCTTACCGGAATCCCTATGTCATCTAAGAGCAGGCCTGACCTAGGCATCCACCTGTCCCGAGCAGCCTGGGTCAGGCTAAGCTGCTGCAGTGCTGCCTAAGGTACTCAGCTCTGAACTGCTCAGGCAGATGCTGCAGTAGGAACTTAGGAGGGTCTCATGGGCTATGCCTTCTTGAAGATGAGGGACCATGAGGGTCCAGCACTCACAAGTGGATACAACCCAGTACCCAACAACTCTTCAGCAGACCCAAGATGGACTTCTGAGTAGAGCTAGCCCAGAGCCTGGGCCTGCCTCTGCCACCTCCAAGTTATAGGGCCAGGAGTAGACTGTCTAAGCTCTTTAAGCCTCACTTTCCCCAACTATACAGCTGGAGCCTGCAGCTGTCTTGAGACTAGAGAGCTGGGAAGAACTACTGTTCCCCACGTGTGCCCTGGAGGGCCTTTAGGGGAGGACTGTGCCTACCTCAGTTACTTGTTGGTGGCACATATAGAAATGCCACTAAGATCTCCATGAACAAAAACAATGGTAGAGTAAAAACCCAAATCAACAACTTGTGACTTTAACTGAGACCATCAAAGGATAAAGGAAGCCCAGCCTTTCTATACCCAGCTCTCTGCAATCAGAAGCTGAAGCCTACATCTCCACCCCACAATGTGCCCATGCCAAGCTGTGCACCTGCCAAGGCAGGTGGCTGCTCTGTGAGTGCTGTGGGACACAGTTGAAACCCACCTGTTGGGATTGTACTCAAGTGCCCCAACCTCCTCGCTGGCCTGGAGCAGGTCCAGGATGCCGGCCGCTGAGCTGCCACTCTCCTTCTTGACTTTGGCATTGCGGCCTGGCTTGGTGTCTGTGTCGATGTGCAGAGAGCCCTCGTCAGAGGAGTCATCGCTCTGCTGAGCCAAAGACAGAGCAGCTGGTCAGGGCAGAGCCCTGGGAGGGGATTACTTTTTCCCTACAATGGGAAATGTGTTTTAAAGAGTCCTATTCTAATGAATGCTACAGAGTGGCCCCAGGCTCGTGACATGGTCTCTCACGAGGCAGGCAAGGGTACCAACCTTTCCCAGGGCCCCTGAAACCACAAATGACAGAGTTGTGGTCATACTCCACACTGCTTTTCTGAGTAAAACCAATGATCTGTCTGGGTGCCATGGCTAAATATCTGAGGTCTGGATATGCTCTCCTGGCAGGTGGCTGGGGGGGGCGGGGGGGACAATGTTCTACCTGGCCTCCTTAGGAAGCATGGGACCCCAGTAGTGATCCCATTCCCTAAGAGAGGCAGCCTTGGAGGTCATCTTAGTAGTGGAGTCCCAGTCCCTGTCACTTCCTGAGCCAGACAAGCTTTGCTGTGTTTATCGCCCTACAGGGCAGGCCCAGCTGGAGGAGCAGCTCATCAGCTCTGGCGGCCAAGGACTTAGGAGGGCTTCTAACCCTCCTATGCCAATCCAAAATTGGAGCCCAGTCCACAAGCAGGAAGAAGGTGGATGCCTTGCCACCTAAAGCAGAAATGCACTGAAGAATCTGAGTGTGCAGCTGGGTGGCTCACCTTGTATGCTGCAGAGTCCAGCTTTGGCTTGGCCACAGGTGTCGCAAGAGCTTCCTTCCTGTCTAACAAGACTGTAAGCACAGCAGATAGGAAGAAGTCTAGTGGAGGCCTTGGGTGGGGACAGCCTGGCCAAGACCACCCCCAACCTCCTACCCACCCCACCATACTCACAGGACAAGTCCCTTTTAGGGGCGTTCTTCTTCCTCCTGATGGGAAACTCATCGATCTTGAGTTCCCCGTCATCTGATACGTACTCATACTCGTCCCGCACTGGCTTGCCTTTGTCCTCCTTGAAGTTCTGCAAGGCCCCAAATACACCAGGGCTGGTAGGGGGCCTGAGAGCCTTGGAGCTGGAGCAAAAGGGAGTAGGTCAGAGGGTTGTCCCAGGTCCTGAAGTCAACAGGCAGCAGAACCTCCCAGGGACCTGAACCAAAGCATCCTCTTGGAGGCCAAGCAGCTGGCGAAATACTAGGCAGGGACTGTTTAGCCCTCAGTCTCTACTGTGGGATTTTACCTGTCCATAAGGAACAGAGAGCCCCAGTCCTACAGTCTCCACCTTTGCTCCACATCCCCTATATGAGGCCTTCATATACACAGTACAAAGTAAGCCCTTCCCTGGGCAGTTGAAGTTCAAGGGTGTCCCACCCATTCTGGGCCTGATTAGCATAGCTCCCCTCGTCAGTCACTGGAATCCTGTCAGCTAAAATCAGTCTTAGGTGGGACGAGGATCAACCTTCAGGCCCTTTTCTACATACTCATTCAGAAAAAAATAATTTCAGGGCTAAGCCACGGTATGCCTGCACTGGGCTGTGAAATACTGTGTATCTGACTCCTTGCTGGGGTGAGATGGGACTGCTGCAGTAAGTAGCATCCACGTGCTTGCCCTGTGAGTAGTTCTTGCCTGGGCCTCTTCCCCAGGTCTTCAGGACATGACTTTTCTCCATAGAAAGGACAGCAGGCTAAGCAAACTTCAACAATGTGCTGGGCCATGGCAGTCTCCAATACCCTCAGGAAGGGCTGTAGCCAGCCCTACTGCCTTAAGGCTGGGCCACAGAATACCACACACATGTATACATGTATACACATGACTCTAATGTCTCATCCATTTCATCTGCCTAGTCTAAGCTGCATGGCCCTGTCATAGAACCGATGCCATTAAAAAGTTTCTCTGGGATGAAATCAGGATAGCAAGACCAGACCCATGTGGGTTCTGCCCACTGAGTGACTGTGAATACATCCACTGTTTTTCCACCTACAAGAGTCTCTTCCTCCCTTCTCAGAAGAGGAAACAGATGCTGCCAAGTCAGACAGGAGGCTGCCACTCCTGTAGGCAATGGAGTCATCTCATTGGGACATGTCTGTCACCCCTTCAATGCTTTCTGGGGTGTATGTGATGCAGGGTGTCTTTGTGGTCCCCCTCCTGTTCACAGCTAATACAGGCTGTTATAGCCATGCTGAGGCCCATCTTGGCTCCCAGGCTGGTACCCTTATTCTCTCAGCTCAGCTTAACTCCCTCAGGCCTGCAGCACCCAAGCCCACACATCCTTCCCCATGGCACCCATCATAGACATAATCGTGGGTAGATTCATGAGTTTACTAAGTTCACACTGACTGTCTTGTCCCACTGATCACTGGGCTCAGAGATCTGTGAAATGACCCCCTACTTGTGTCTTTAGTACCAGTACATGATAGCTCCTCTGTTAATGGGCTGTCTGTCTGGCCCTCACGGAAGCAGTACTCTCTACCCACTCTGCAGGTGGAGCACACTGGAGACAAACATAGCTCTCCTGGGTTTGTCAAGGTGTGCTGTGCAGAGCTGCAGTGAGTGAGATCAGAGGCTCGGAAAAGAACCCAACTGACAGTGCCAACTGAGTGCACATTACAGGTATGTGTGATGCTGTGATGCACATATGGTGTGGGGTGTACATACGGTGTGAAACATGTACAATGTGTAGGATGTGAGGTGTCTGTGGATACGCATGTGACTTATGTATGTGTGGCATGGATATGTGAGGGGGTGCTGGCAGAGGTTATGATGCAATATGCATGTTTGTGTATCATGCAATATGTATATGTGAGGATGTTAGGTGTATGGTGTGAATTATGATGTAGGTGTGTCCTTGGGAATGTGCATGTGTGAGGGATATGTCTGTGGGAAGGGATGCACCTGTGTGAAGGGTTTGGTGTGAAGTATGATATAGGCATGTCCACAGGAATGTGCATGTGTGATGAATGCGTAGATGATGTGGATGTCTGTATAGTTGTGGGGGGTGATATGGGTACCTGTGTGGTAGATGTGTGTGGTACAGGATGATGCATAGTGTTTATGTATGTGTGATGTGGATGACTGGGGAGAATGTGTGTGTGATGTGGGACATGTGCATGATCACCCCATCTAGGCTCTCACATACCCCAGGAGTTTTCTGTTGGAGAAAGAAAAGGAGAACTTGTCCTTATTTCCAGTCAGGGGAGACTTCTCCAACCTCTGCTCCTCTTCCATCTTCAGTAAGGAGTCAGGTTTGCTGTTCTGAAAGCAAGACCAAGGTTTTCCCTGAGCCCCCTGGGATGTGGGGCTAATATCCCAGCCTATGTTAGTGGACAGTAGTGGGAGCTGGGGCATGCTCAGGAAAGCTGTTCATAGCATCCACAGCTGCCTGACCATCTGCATGCAGGACCCACCCTGGAATGCTGCCCAGCCTCAGGGAGCAAAAGCATAGATCAGTGCTGGGACCATGAAGATAGTGAAACTCAGTGGAGAAAAACACTGTCCATGGGGAAGACGGCATACTTAGCTTTAAACTCATACTGCTCACAGGGCACGGTGGTCTGTGGGAGGCCACATGTGCTCCAGACTCAGACTTGTTTCATGGCCCCACCTCCAGGGGACAGGCAGACACACATCTGCACATACCCTTACAGGCCCACATCGCTGCTCACATTGCATACACACTTGCTTCTCACCTTGTACTTCCACTTGGCCTCTGACTTGCTCTTAGTTTGCTCCCGAATTTCCAGCCTTTCCACATCATTCTGTGTGTGGACTGTGTCCTTATTGGGAACACTCAGGACGCTCTTTGGGGCCTAGAACAAAGCAGTCATTACCCAAAGGTAAACATAGAGGGTGGGTGGGACTTGGGTCATAGACAGAATCCTGGCTACTCCTGCTGGTCCACACATGGCACGTCCATCCATTCATCCACTTGTTCATTCTTTCATCCATTCATTTATCCATCTGTTCATTCACCCTTTCATTTGTCTGACCATTCTTCACCTATCAATCCATTCATCCATCCATCCATCTACCCACCCAGCCACCCAACTGTCTTCCTATCCATATGTACACCTACCCATTCACTGTCCATCTGTCCCTCATCCATCTATCTATCCATCCATCTATCCATCAGTCCACCAACACATCTATCCATCCATCTACCCACTCACTCATCTACTCATCTGTCCGTCCATCCATCCATCCATCCATCCATCCATCCATCCATCCATCCATCCATCCATACATACATACATACATACATACATGTATCCATTCTTCTTTCCTTTCCTGGAGGAAGCAGCACAAGTAGAATATTGCATCTCTCTTGGAAGGAGCTCACAGCCAGTAGGACTTGGTCTCAGGGGTTCAATAAGACCCTCTAGTAAGAGTAAGTTCCAGGGCTGGGGCCATCTTTTTCTCTCCACAAAGCTCAGGCCCTCAGAGCAACTATTTCCCTCCTTTCAATCCCCAGCTTTCTCCCAGATGTTTTATACATCTTCAGGCCTCAGCCCCAAGCTTCTAGTACTCTGGAACTTATCTAAGCAGGGTGGACTCATCCTTAAGAGCAGCATTCTGCCCTGCATCAATCTTGTGGCCCTCTGGGGTGCCACCTCTGCCACAGAACAAACACCCTGTGCTACCTCTCCAGGAGGGCCTCAATGCTCTACGGTGCTGACTGGGATGTTGGCCTGAATGTTTAGGCCTGGAACAGGCACAGGCAGGGAAGTACATTCACTGTGCAGACTTATGCACAGTCAGACCTCAGACTCTTGCACTCTCCTGAGACCTTACCTTCACAGCAAATTTCCCCTCCCCGCCCAGCAACAAGTCCTGGAAGGCAAAGACATGTCAGGCCCAGTTGTGCCCTGTGGCTGTGGTGCCTCAAGTAGAATGATATGGAGAGGGACTCAGGGGCCCCACCTTTCCCTTCTTGGGTGGCTCCATCTTGGTCAGCGCCTCCTTCGTGTGGGCTTCAAGCAGGTCCAAGTTGGGGATGGTGGGCGAAGCTGACTCCCTGCACTTCTTCCCTTTCTTTTTGCTCCCATCCTTAAGCTTCAGGGTTTTGGGGGGCTTGGGCGGCTTGGGGAGTTTTGGGGACTTGGGGATTTTGGATGGCTTGGGCATCTTCACAGTCTTGGGAGTCTTTTTTTTAGACACTTTCTCTAGGAGAGATCGAGGTGGGGTAGCCTCAATGGGTGATGGTGGTTCCTCCTTCTCCCGGTCCCCATCACAGACCTCATCTGAGGAGGCTACAGTGTTCACTTCTGGTCGGACAGCTTTGGAGGCATTCTAGGGCGAGGAAAGGGGAAGGTCATAAGTGTTCCTTCTAGACCACAGCCAGAAGGGTCCCTTCTCAGGAGACCATCATAGTCATGCTGGAAGAGGCAGTTAGCCCAGAAGGGACCACCTAGGCCATACCATGTGACACACTCATCACATTGCCCAATACTGTCAAGACAGGTCATACAATCCACACCACTCTGTGACACACTCACATTGTCCCATACTATCACCCACATGGTCCCCTACCTCTTAGGGCTCTTGCCCCTCCCCAGGCCCAAGAGGCTGCCTAGCTCTTCCAGACTCAAGGACTGGAATTGGGGTTCTCTACTATGTGAGAGATGTGGCAAGCCCCACTCTTCTCTCCCTCTATGTCTCCTCCCCATGTACCCACACCAGGCAGCCAGCCCCTGAACCCTGGGGATGAGTACTAATATAGGGAAATTTCCCTGGGCAGGTGGGCTCTGGGCCCATCCTTGTCCCCATCACCCTGGCCCTACCTCACTAAGTCTGATCTCTCTGGCCAGGTCCTTGATGAGCTGCGAGGGCCTGAAGTGCTCAGGGAGTTCGTCCTCATGCTCTGCCAAAGCCTGTGGGACAGCAGGATCAGTGTCAGCTTGGCCACTCCAGTGCCTCAGCCACTTCCTACCCACCCAGCTGGACCACAACCACCCCATAGGGTGAGCCCTACCCAGTAAGAAGGTTTTTGGTAGGCCACTCCACACAGGGGAACACTTCCTACCCACCCAGCTGGACCACAACCACCCCATAGGGTAAGCCCTACCCAGTAAGAAGGTTTTTGGTAGGCCACTCCACACAGGGGAACACACTAAGTCTGGGCCTCACCTGAGGCTACCACTAGCGGGTTGTGGAGTGGACACAGGCCTGTTCCCTCTTCCCCACCATGTAGCTCAGGTGAGGTGGGAGGGGCTTTGAGTCTCAAGGAGACGGAAGTCACAAGATGGCCCTAGAAGGTTACTAGCCACCCTTATCACCTGGTGGGTGAGACAGGCTGCACATGTGGTTCCTTATCTGGGCCCTGCCTCAAGGTCCTCTGAGGCCTCTACTTGTTCTCCCTGACCAAAATGGGACCCCTGTTCTCTCAGGCAGCAGTTGTATAAGTGAGTAGATAGTGAGAGCCCCTAGTAGCAATGTCCCAAAGGTGAGCAGACCCACTCCTCCTTCTGTAGCTATAACCGAAGTAAAATGAGAAAGGAAACAGAAAGCTGACTTCTTTGGTGCCTCTGTCTGAAAAACACCTCCCACAGGCCAGAGGAGATGAGCACATGGGATCATGGGAGGAGCCAGGTCATAGAGCAAGTTAGCTTGGGCACCAGGCAATGTGGGCTGTTGAGTGAGAGGGGTCAAGAGTGTAACCCAGCACTTCATGTCCAGATCCAGGTATGTGGTCATTGTACCAGATGCTTCCTGGGTCCCTCCCTGCCCCTCCCAGGTTAACAGAGTTGTCCCTACCTGAGGCTCCTGAGGAGATCTAACCCTGGAGCTAATGACCTCAAACTGGCCCAGAAAACCTACATCCAGCCAACACATTCCTCAAGGGTGTGAACCAGTGTCAGTGAACCAGCTTGAGTCAGCCTGGACAGACAATGCTTGCCCCTTGCTGTGTGGGACACAGACAGCCTGGTCATCATCACCACCTGTTCCTTCAACCTGCTCCCTGTTCCATCACCCCATTCCCTCAACCAGAAACACAAATAACCTGCTTCCTACCTGCTTCTTCGTCCATGACCTGAAAGCACCATTGAGAATTTTAGCTCCCTGGACTAAATGAGGGGGCAGCTGCTTCCCAGACTTGTGAGAACCTGGGGAAGACACAACAGATTTATGTGATGGCTGCCTAGACCACCCACTGCAAGAGGCCAGATTGTACAGGCTCGGCCTTCCAGAGGCCTCTGCCTAGGCCACCTACCCAACTGCCAACGGTTCTTCTTAGAATCTGAGGTACCTGTCTACCCAGCATCTGCCCTCTAGGGGAATGGCTAACCTCCCATCTCTTCCCATCTTACCTGAAGCTTCCCAAGCAGGACCCTGAGCAGGCTACCAGGCTCTCCCCTCTCTGCCCAGGACACCCAGCCCTGCCCCTAGTGAGGAACTGTGCTCTTGCCAGATGAGCCATATACCAAGTCCCCAGGTGCCTTCTTATGCCACTTCAGGCTGTGTCCTGAAGGATATGATCAGGCCTCATAAAGGCAGCACCCAGACTGAGAGAGCCCAAGCCTGGGCCAGGTCACCCTCCAGACCAGAGCTGCAGACTCAACTCACCCAACCTAAAGTGACAGGTACCTTTGAATGCCTCCAGCAAGTGCTTCCCCATGTACCAGCAGGCAGTTTCAAAGTTGGGAAACTGAGTCAGACTGCCAAGTTTCAATCTCCTTTCCACCTCATATGCCCTGGAAGCCACAGCAAAGAACTGTTCAGTGCAGGGAACATCAAGTAGGCCATGCCAGAGAGGGAATTCAGGCTACTGAGCCAGTGCAGGCCTCCCTACTGTGTCCAGTGTGACTGCCATGGGTAGAGGCAGTGGGTTGCTGTCATTAGAGAGCTTGGTCACAATCCAAGAAAGGTACAGCAGCATTCATGATCCCAAACCATCACTAGGCTTGCCCTAGCCAGGGACATGGAGCCCACCTTCCCCTTCAGCACAAACAGGTCAGCAAGGCTAGGTCTACAGAACTTAGGCCAAGGTACCCACCAGAAGACCTGGCCCCAGGGAAGACAGCACTGCAGGAACTACCTACCTCATCTGCATCTCCACACTGAGGCTGTGGAGGAAATGACCTGAGAAGGCCAGGCAGTCCACAGGGGTGAGTGTGGCATAAATCCAGCCTGGGAGAGACAGAAAGGAATGTGGCTAACCTCCACCTTGCTCCCATTCCTACTCACTCCTGCCTCTGCCCAGCATGAACTCCATGTCTCATCAGTCTTGGCCTCACCTAGTACTCCCACCTTCCCTGATCTGGTATCACCTACCCTCTGAGAGAGTTACAGGAAAGAGTGTATCTGAAATGGCACAGGCTGTTGAACAGCCCAGCACCAGACAGATGGAAACAGCCTGGGAGCCAAGGGGACATGCTCAGGGCATGCCAGGACAGCACTGCCATCAGGATGGTAAGCCTAAGTCCCTGATATGCCCATGTAGGGGTCAAAAGACACAACAGAATTGGAGCTTTCACTCTCCCTGGGAGCTAAGTCTTGTCCCAAAGTTTTCTCAGGGGACTGAACTGAGGCCCAGCTCTAGGAATTCCATGTCTCATGAAGTAACTGTGAGGAAGCCTACAGGGAAGAGCAGGAGTCAGTGACCAGAGCTCAGAAGAGCTCTGGGGCTGCATTTAGATCCTGATTTTAACTGAAAAATGGCATACAATCACTAGAAAGTCTGCATCTATCTGCTACATGGTACTGAGGGCCTACATTTCCCTCTCAGGATGTGATCATGTTACTTTAGGGGAAGGAATCATTCAGAGTTGACTTTTCATGCCCCTGGGATTCACTCTCACAGGAGAACCTGGAGGCCTCAGCTGCTCAAGTTGCGTTTTAGCTGGCACTGGTTCAAGCATTCCTTAGGAACACTTCTAAATATCCACCCTCCTCTTCAGGTACTACTGAACCAGGTCTCCCATACTAGAACCAACTGGCCACACACTCAAGTGGCCTAGTGCTAAGTGGGATAGGCCTAACACCCAGGCCTCCTGCTGTGAAAAGCCTAATGCTGGTCTTTCCATGGTACTGGGTGGGGGCAGGTGGCAGGACGCCCAGTAGTAGGAATGTAGCAATGTGGCTTGGGGAAAGGCACAGTGACCATGACAAAAGTTAGCCAGCCTGTGCCCCATGCATGTGGAGTCACACTCACCTGAGGGGATGAAAAGGGTCTGACCCTGCTTGACAGTGCACTTGTAGCACTTGTCCACCTGGTCAGCAAAGAACATCTCGCTGTGGTTGGAGGCCGACCGCCAACGCTCATACAGGGAAATGTTGGCCGAGGCGGGTCGGATAAGATAGAAGATCTTCTCCCCCTGCCAAGAGAGATCATTGGTAGGGCTAAAACGCCAAGGATGTGGGGCAGAGTCCACCTGGTGCTGGAAATGCTGGAGTGGAGGACATAGTCTGCTAGGTACTGGGAATGCTGGGTCAAAGGGCAGAGCCCTCTGGGTGCTGAGGATGCTGCAGTGGGAAAAGAACCTGTGGGGTGCTGGAAATGCTGCAGCAGGGGCAGAGCCCAGCAGGTGCTGGGGACACTGGGACAGGGACATAGTCTACCAGGTCCTGGGGAAACTAGAGCATAGGGCAGAGGCCAATAGGTCCTGAGGATGCAAAGGCAGTAGACAGAACCCATTAGATGCTGGGGATATAGGGGCAGGAGCAGAACCCACCAGTGCTAGAGACAATAGGCCTGGAGTAGAGCTCATCACATTCTGGGGCCTGGTGATGGGCCTGACTTGAAAAGCCCACTCAGGCCCACCATTCCCACCTACAATGCTGCTTTTACAATTCAGAAATTTGCCTCTTAGGAAGGTTCTAGATATGTGAGCCCAGTGTGATCAGAAGCTGCACATACCATCATTATTCCATGGCACTACAAATGTCATGTATGCCCAGGGAGTAACAAAACTGTGAATATCTGCCCAGCAAGTCCTTAGCAGTTCTGTTCTCAAGAGCTTCTGGGCTTCCAGGCTGGATTAAAGGACAGTAACTATTTCCTGGCCATGTGCAAAACCAGACTGGGTTCTGTACCCAGAGCAGCAAGAGCCTCATTCTCAAGCTCTGGAGCTAAGATGGGCTCAGAGAATACTGTGATGGCTTGCTCAGAGCCTGGCAGGGTCAAGACTGGCACCTGAGTCTAGCACGCCAGCACAAGCCACAGCTGGTTTAGAGAGCTGTGGTTTGCAGCTGACAGAGCCAGAACTCAGGGTTTCTGCTGATATTTGCATCTCATCATACTTTTGGTCTCCTTCTTGCTCCAGTGATGAGTGCCCCCCAACCCTCCCAACTGGCTCAGCTGCCCACCACCCTGCCCGATGGCTTCTGTGGGGGTCTGGCTCTGGTTGGCCCCCTTCCAAGACATCTTCCCTACACCTCTACTCTATTTTGGGTACTAGGTGGCCCAATTGTAAATGAGCCCCAAAGACATTAGAAAAAAGAGACACACATATGTCACTCATCTCATATGCCCCTCCACTCATCTCCTTGGCCTGCAGCCCCAGGGCTGGCCATGTGTGTTCACCCATTCAGGAATGAATGACTTCCTGGCCACAGGCAGGGTTTGGAGGGACTGCAGTCCTGAGGTGAGGACAGAACTTGGGAGTTGAAGAATGAGGTGTGTCCTGAGGGGTGTAGCTCACCTTGAGCACATGGTACCAGGCAGAGGCTCCCCCAGAGTCAATGTGAAAGTCAGTATAGCTGTCCTTCACACAGATCAGGCAGTACTTGGTCACTTTGGGCTTAGCCAGCAATGCGTCGTCAGGCCAGTAATTTTCTACCCAGGATAGTTTCTTCACTATGTCGGGTGGCTCCACGAAGCTGGACATTCTGGGGCCAGAAAAATAAGAGTGGTCAACAGAGTGGGACCCAGGGCCTCTGTTTTTAATGCACTCTTGGGTAGGAACAGTGCAAAGCTCCTCCCAGGCTACCTCATGGACCTGTGGGCCCTGGGCATCGTTCTCACTTTATGGATGAGCAATCCTAGGGCTCCAGAGGGGGGAATGAGCCCATTCACTGCATGTGACTGCATAGGTGAGGTTGGTCTCTATTCCCAGAAGAAGAATGTAGGAAAGGCCTTGGGGGGGGGAGTCTTTAAATTGCCTATCAGGGTTGGCCAGCATTGGTGCTGTGGTACCACAGGACCCTGAGAAGAAATGTTTCTCACACATGACCCTGAGCCTCCTGTGCCATCTGAAAAAAGGACATCCCTCTCCAGAGCAGAACGCAGGCAGCCCAGAGACTTCTGTCTCATTGAGCTGCATTTAAATCAACTAAGTCACTTCCAAGGAAGGTGGGAAAAGGAATAGGTGGCCTGTGAGTCAGTGAAATGTCACTATCCTGGGGAAAAAGCCAGGATGTTTTAAATAGCAAACTCGGCAGCCCCTACACAAGGACGGAGAACCGGATCTGGACTTTCTGGCTGCCTCAGGCCAGAAGGGGTTCCTCATGCCTTAACACTTGGTGTGAGCTCCTGTGGACCCTTGCCCATCCAACTTGCCTCCATTTGAAGGCCATGCGCACCCTGACTAAGCTTTCTGGAGTGGCTTCTTATAACCTGATCCTCTGCATCCATGCTACATAGAAGTGGGCCTTTCCCATGCTCAGGAGTAGGGGAACACCCTAGACATAGCACCCAGTCCCTCAATGTGGGCCATATAGATTCTGCCCCTGGGGACCACCTCTCTGTGGGACAATGGCATAGAGCCTTCACGTCCATCTCTGCTGACCCTGATGCACATCTATCCCAGTGATTCTACTTGGTCTTGTATGATCCCAAAGAATGCGTGCCTGCCTTCTGCAAACAGACCAATAAAAACCCTCATGGGTTTTTGCTCATTTGGATGAAAACTTAGGCCCCATATAGGCATTAGTTCCCAGGTTCCACTCTCTCTCTGTGCTCTGTGACCTTTGTAGGTGGTATGACCTCTAGGCTTGCCATGTACCCCCAGGACCTGTGGCTCTCCTAATCAGCAGAGAGGAGCTCTCCATCTTAAAGATCCTAAATGAAAACACCAAGAATTACAGCCTAATCCTACTGCCCCAACCTCAACACCAGGCAGAGCCTGTGCCTAACTGCTCCCAAAGACACACCATCCCACAGGCACCATGCTGATGATAATGGCGGGGATGTAGTCAACAAGGTGCATCTGTGTGTGGCCTCATGATCACACAACTCCTTACTTTCACCTGAGTTGTTCAGTGTGTTTCTAGAGAAAGGAGACTGGAGCCTGTGCAGTGATGGACTGGGTTTCTCAGGCAGCTCCCACGATGGCAGCAGCTCCAGGTAGGGCAGGACCCTGAAGCAGCCCTCACAGCCCTCAAAGCCCCCACACCAGGACAGCATGTCACCTGGTATCTGAGAACTCAAGGTTGGTCACGTTGAGGACACGCTTGCGGTTAGTACTGTAGTAATAGTCCACAAACTCCTTCAGCTTCATCTTGCAGTCCTTCTGCTTGGTGACGTCTGTCACATCCACGCTCCTCTCTGGCCCTGGGGATAAAGAGGGAGGGCATGAGCATCCCAGGAAAATCGTGTGACCTCTCTTAAGGACAGATGTGGGATGAACATTCCCATATCTTCAGCTGCCCTTGAGCATGGCAGTGCCTCCCCCCAGGATGGATAGGGTCTAGACCCTAACATCCCCCCTACCTGCCATTGCCCTGGGTTGAGAGAGTGACCAATGCTCCTTTCCTGGACCCAGTGACACTATGGCGGGGGGTAACTCTCAAACCTCAGTGAGAGAGGCCAGGTTCGCAATATAGAGATGCCTAGACAACTTGAGCTTCAAGTAACAACAAAGACGTGTTGGTGTAACCACCTCCAAATACTACAAAAGTTAGAAGAGAAGAACCCTGCATTTCAAGGGCACTTTTACTTTTTTGGTCTGGATAACTAAAGACTTGGTCCCACGCTGTGTTGCTATTGGGAGGAGGTAGAACCTTAAGGAAACAGGGCCTAATGGAAGCCGGGTCACTGGGAGCAGGTTCCTGGAGAGGACTGTAGAACCCTAGGCCCTGTTTCCTTTCGCTCCCTGGGCTCATAATACAAGCAGTATGCTCCATCATACACAATCTTTGTCAGCGTTCCAAAGCTAACGGGCCAATGGTTTATGAACTGGTACCTCTAGAATCATGAATCCAAATTAATTTTTTCCCTTTCTAAATTATTTTCCTTAATATTTTTTAATAGTTACAGGAAACTGATATAAGCACCAATATGTTATTCTAACTGATCAACTGCCAACTATAAGGGAAAACACTTTCTTGTCCTTTTTGGAGCTGATGAGGAAAAGTTAAAGCTCTTCAGCTGAAGAGGAAAAAGTCTTGTAGAAGATTCAGGATTAAGAAAGGAAGGAGCAAGACAGAATGAATGAGCAAAGTAGCTGTCTTCCAGGGTCCACAGCGGCCTCTCAAACACAAGGTAGAGGCTGGTGGGGTATCTGTGCACAGGAACCTGGACACCAGGTCCCACTGACCACGGCAACATCACCACAGGTTTGTGTCAGGCACTATAAGTATCCTCAAGGATAGAGGTGTATCCACCTGAAGGAGGTCCATAAAACCTCTGGTATAAGCAGACCTGTGAGCTAGAGCCTACAAGAAACATTTGGGACACAGTGATCTGCTGGGCACAGGCACACCAATAACCAATCATGTCCTGGATATGAGAGGTTCTGTAGGACCCAGAAAACTGACAGAATGGCAGGGGAGTGTGGCTGTCACAGAGAAAGACTTCAGGGACATGAAAACCAAATGCCACATGTAGGTCCTGTTTGAATTCTGAGCCAAACAACCAAATGTAAAGATGCTTTATCTTGTATTTCTGGAGACCAAACCCAGAACTGTGTGCGTGCGTGCGTGTGCATATGTATGTGACAGCGTGTGTATGTCTGTGTGTGTACACATATGTGGAGGTCAGAGGACAACTTTTGGGAGACGGTTCATGTTTTCCACCTTCCTTGAGGTAGGGTCTCTTTCTTGTTTGCTGCTGTATACTTCAGACTAGCTGGCCTGTAAGCTCCCAGGTGATTCTCCTGTCCCTCCCTCCAATCTCACAGAAGAAATACTTGGATTATAGATGCACAGTACAACACTGGCATTTTATGTGGGTTCAGGAGATATGAACTCAGGTTATCAGGCTTGTGTGGCAAGTGTTTAACCACTGAGACATCTTCCCTTTTTTTTCTGGTGTAGGAGGACTAGGAAGAATTAAACCAAGATATAGCATGTCCAACCTGCAGCCCACAGCTGCATGTATCGCAGGATAGCTATGAACACAGCTCAACGTATTTATAGATGTCAATACCATGTTACAATGTTAAAAGACTAGACACCCCTGTGATTCTATCAAGGAATTATGACTAATGTTGTGGTGCTGTGATAGAATTGTGGTTATGTTTAAAAATGATGTTAGGGGGCTAGAAAGATGCTTAGCAGTTAAGAGCACTTGTAGAGGGCCCAGGTTTAGTTCCCAGCACATACTGGAGGCTCATAATCAGTTGTAACTCTAGTTCCAGGAGATTCAATGCCCTCTTCTGGTCTACGTGGGTACTGTACTGCATGCACATGGTGCACAGATATACATGTAGGCTAAAACATTCCATATACATAAAATAAATCATGTTAGGCTGCACAATGGAGTTTTATGGGCAAAAAGATGTTCGCAAAGATATTTGTCTTAAAATACTTCAAGGAATAAAAGTTGGGGGGAAGACAGAAAATCAGTGCAAAGTTGGTAAGGTTTTATGACCAACAGCTAGGTGCACAGGCTTGCTAATCATTTCCCTTATTTTGTGTGTTTAAAAAGTTCCATGAGGGCCAGGTAGATTGATCACTGGGTAAAGCACTTGCTGTTAAACACAAACACCTGAGCTCAGATTCCTAGCACCCATGTAAAAAGCCAGGCATGGCCATGTATGCGTGCACGTGTGTGTGTGTGTGTGTGTGACACATCTGCACTGGGATGGCCATAGGAGGATCACTAGGATTGCTGGATGCCAGCTTAGCCAAAAAAATGGCAAGCTCCAGGTTGAGTGAACGACCCTTTCTCCAGTGAATAAGGAGAAGAGTGACTGAAGAAGATACCTGAAATAATCTTCTGGCTTCCATGGGTGTGTGCAAAGCTGAGCACCCTCAGACACATTTGTATACACACATACACCACACATAGTAAAAAAATAAGCAAGCAAATAAAAAGTACTATGACTTTAAAAACTTAAGAAGAAAAAAAGAATCATCAAAGCAGTAAACACTTCTAGGAACCATTTCTCCTGCTTGTGCAGACAGCTACAGAGGGGCCCCAGTCCTTATGGTTGGGACTCAGAGCCATGGTGACAGAGTGGGTCTCTCAGAGCTGTGACAGGGTAGAGTTAGTGTCCAAGTTCCCAGAACAAAGCCTAAGTCTCACCTGCTCTTATTGGGTCAAGTACAAGGCCAGGATGCTGGAAACAGTAGACAGAGCACGATCCCCCTACACCAGGCTCCCATGAGATGCAAAAGGGATCGCACTCACCCACATAGTTCTCCACGTCACTCACGTAGAAAGTCGGGGCAGGGACGGCCAGACCTAGCCCATCTTTCTTGGGGACAAGGATGGGCTCAGTAAAGCCATGCTCCTCCATGTAGCCCACAGTGAGTTGGCTGCCTGGCACACGGGATACCACGTCTTCAGCACTGTGGAGGAAGGATGGTCAGAGGCCTCACCACACCAGGTCACATGCCTCCCATGCCCCTGGAGGAGTCTGGCCTGCAGAGGCACCCTGGCAACAACTGAGGCAGCTGTAGGCAAATGTGGTGCCGATTCCAACAACCCCACACCAGGAACAGAGGCACATGAGTCCACTGGCACCCCCTTATGGAAATACGGAGGTCAGGCTCCACAGTGGTGAAGAACAGTGAGACTGTCATGTTCCTGAAGGCTGCCCAACCTTCCCATAGGAAGGCAAGGAGACACCATCACCTAGGTGCCCCCCCCACCAGCATGGCCTAAGACATGAGGGTAAAAGCAGATCCTCTCACTGCATCCAAGTGGGCTTGGGCACAGGACCTTGTTGGGATGCATGCACCATGCTGGGGAACACTATCTGGGGAGATCCCCACAATGGGCAGGTCACAACAAACCCAAGGAGAGTACTGTCCAAGAGGAACCCTGCTGGGCAGGTCACAGAAAACTGGGAGGGGTGGCACTATCCGGGGAGAGCCCCACTGGGTAGGTAACAGCAAGACCAGGGGGAAGCACTGTCTACAGAGAGCCCTGCTAGGTAGGTCATTATGAGACCTGGGGGAGCACTCTCTGTGAGGAGCCTGGGTTTAGCAAATCCAGGGAGAGCACTGCATGGAGAGAACCCATCTGGATAGGTCACAGCAGTCCAAACCATCCAATTCCCATTCCTGTCACAGCCCTGAGATCTGGGATCTCAGCACAGCATGAAAACAAGATTTCTTCTGGGGTGATGTTGCCTTTCAGGCCCTGGGCTAAGACAGGAGGCCTGGGTCCCATGCAGAGTAGTTATAACCCAGCCAGGGCTATCACTTGCCCCTCCTTGACTTAGCTTCCCTATCACACCACTAGGACTTATCCAGCTCTAGGCAGCCCAACTCTACATAGAACAGTAGCCACCAGGTCAGGGCTGACAAGGGGAGGAATCACTGTGACCACAGATGGAATTCCCTATCCCTGCCCCCAAGGAACTCAGCAGCTCCATGGCTGGGAAAGTCTTAGAAAAGGCCAATGGAGAAAAGGGTAAAATCCAAGGTGCCTTCTGTCTCTACCTGCCCAGACCTGTCTGTTCCATACTTCTACCCCAGAGGTGATGGGAGGACCAAGCATCTGCCAGGCTGTTCACTGTGACCCTCATCAGAGCATCCAGTCCTTGCCTGCCTCCTACTGGACCCTGCTGCCACCACAGGGCTAGAGACAGATCACAAATGACTACCTCAGCATGGACACATCATAGCAATCTTCCAGGGGAAGAGGGGCCCAGAGAGTGTGGCTGCTCAGGGCAATAGCTGATGCCCTCTTCTCCTACTGCTATGAGCTGGGTTCTACCCTGAGTGTCCAGGTCCCACTGAGCCACTGAAAGCAGATTTCTTCAGAAGAACGCACACAGTTATGTATGCATGGGGGACACAGCTGGGCATCATGCCAAGGCCTGGTGGGGCTTGAGAGAAGACAGGAACTGTGCCAGCAAAGGCCACTATGGGGCCAGTCGGAGGCAGGGACAGGAATGATTAGGCTGCTGGAGGGCAGTCATGGCTCATACTGCTGACTCAGAGCACCAGGGAGTCAGGGCTCTTTCAGTCTATAGCTCTGTCCACTGCCACATGCACAGGGGGCTCCTGGAAAACCAGGGTGGGAGCGTAGGGTGGCCACTGGGAGGATGCTCAGTGCCTCAGCCCTTGAGCAGACGGGAATGAGGGAACAGAAGTGGCAAAGGTATGTGGAAGAGGACTAATATGAGCAATGGGGGCCTGTGGAGGGAGTGTGGAATTGGGGACAAAGAGCAGATTAAGAGCTAAGCTGTGAATGTATCAGATCTGAGACACATGCCTAGCTCTCCAGGGATGTACTAGCTTGATGTCAGGTCAGAAGCTCAGAAGAGCCAGAAACGAGAAAGTCGTAGAGCCTTAGAGCAGAGGTCAAGAACAGTCCTAGGTAGGCAGTACCTGGGCAGGATTGGTGGAGAGCAAACAGGCAGGTGGGAGAAAACCTGAGGAGCTAAGGACTTCTATGATGGTCAGTTGTGGTATCCAGTTTTGCTGAGAGTAAAGTTAGGATCAGGGTTTAAAAATGTCCTCTGGTGGAACTGGAAAGATGGCTCAGCAGTTAAGAGTGCTGACTGCTCTTACAGAGGACCCAGGTTCGATTCTCAGCACCCACATGGTGGCTAACAACGGTCTATAACTCTAGTTCCAGGGGAATATGATGCCTTCTTCTGACCTCCGCAGGCATTGCATGACATGGGTGCACTTACACACGTGCAGGCATAACACTCATACACAAAAAGTAAAAATAAATAAAATATTAAAAAAAATAATGTCCTTTGGTTTGCCTGAGTGGCAACAGTGCTAAGGTAAACCAGCAGAGTGGGTGGAGGTGAGAAAACGTATGCAGAAGGTCAAGGAATCCAAGGTAAGCAAGATATACTCTGGCAGCCAGACGAAGTCTCTCATGGGGGCGGGGGGGGACCACAGGTAGAAATCAGCTTTGATAATAAATCCAGATCCCAGGCCCTTGACCCACTGGTGAAAGTTCTAAATTGGCATTAAA